TGCTTACTTGAGCTTACTTGTACTTACTTGCGCTTACTTGTGCTTACTTGCGCTTACTTGAGCTTACTTGTGCTTACTTGAGCTTACTTGTACTTACTTGTGCTTACTTGCGCTTACTTGCGCTTACTTGCGCTTACTTGCGCTTACTTGCGCTTACTTGTGCTTACTTGTGCTTACTTGTGCTTACTTGTGCTTACTTGTGCTTACTTGTGCTTACTTGTGGTGCTTACTTGAGCTTACTTTCGCTTATAGTCTAGGACCTGTATATGAGTTTGTATGCGTTTCATTTAGCACAGGTAATCTCGACTGTTTTAGGGTAAATTGACCATGGCGGTCAACATGGCATATGTGCCAAAACCTGAATCCGGGACGAAAGTCCTGAAAATGACCCCGCCCTGAAACGGCAGTGTCAACATAGCTCTAACTTCAGAAAACAAAAAGCGATAGTCTTTCTGACGTGCTTATAGTGTTTAGAAGGGTTGCTTTTAGGGTGGTCATTGGAAGAAAAAATTTGTCTAAGTATAATATTTTACAAGAAAATGACCATGCACCACCCCAGGTAAATTGCTAATTATGCATAAAATAACTAATATGCCTGGCAGAAATGAAATATTCTTATTTCCTAACTATGCTTAATTTAATATAAATATTGTTGATATCATAAGGATTGTCATTGTTTTCTTTAAACTGTATAATACATTTTATTTCACTTTCCCCCCCACGAAAACACGATTTCAGCCATATTTTGCCGTCTTGTTTGCTTTTTATCGCCGAATCTCGCAAATATCATCCAGTTGTTGTACTTTTATATAATCATAAATGGCTGACGAAGATTTCAAAGAAGGTTTCATCCACTTTTGAAACAGTGCAGTGTATTTTATCTTCGATATTGTGTCCTTCGATATTTCGTTAAATTGCCGCCATTTTAATGGCTTGCCGCTTCTCTGCCCGATAAATGCCACTTCTTCGTTTTCATATGTATTTAGATTACATTATCCAAGAATACTTCTTTGTAGAATAGTCCCAATCCAAAAATTGGAAATATTATTTGTACTTGGGAGGAAAAAACCTCCCATAATAGTTGTCCTGTCAGAATTCAAAAGAAGTAATTTAAAAGTCACGCGCAAGTTCGCGAAAACACCTCGTGGGTTACATAACAGGGGGAAGTGAATATTTTCACGAAACGTTTGTTCGCCACCACAGCAACCTAACTAAGTACATTATATTTATTGTATATTTGTGATTTATGAAAAAAATAATAAATATTTGCGTATTTTTATCATCAATTATAAAAATACAAAAAATATAATACATTTCTAACTTCACATTGAATAACTTGCGCTTATACTTGCGCTTAATTGAGCTTACTTGCGCTTATTTGTGCTTACTTGCGCTTACTTGTGTTTACTTGCGCTTACTTGTGCTTACTTGCGCTTACTTTTGCTTACTTGTGCTTACTTGTGCTTACTTGTGCTTATACTTGCGCTTACTTGCGCTTACTTGCGCTTACTTGCGCTTACTTTTGCTTATACTTGCGCTTACTTGTGCTTACTTGCGCTTACTTGTGCTTACTTGCGCTTATACTTGCGCTTACTTGTGCTTACTTGCGCTTACTTGTGCTTGTGCTTACTTGTGCTTACTTGAGCTTACTTGTGCTTATTTGCACTTACGCGCGTTTACTTGCGCTTACTTGCGCTTAGTTGTGCTTACTTATGCTTACGTTTGCTTACTTGAGCTAACTTGCGCTTATGTATGCTTATTTGTGCTTACTTGTGCTTTCTTGAGCTTACTTATATGCTTATTTAATCTTTAATCTACATTTGTTTACCTGTGCTTACTTGAGCTTATACTTGAGGTTACTTAAGCCTGGTTCACATATATGCCTGCGACGTACCGGCGATGTACCGGCGACGATACGGTGCTAGCTTTAAAACGTAAATTATGTGAACATTTGTTCGCCGATTGCCTCCAGTGCCTCAGTTACATCGGCGGTAGGCCGGGAAAGTTGAGTTGAGTTCAACTTTGCCGGTATTTCGGCGGCAAGTAGAGGCATAATGATACAGTCGCAGGCATGCCGCAGGCATATGTGAACCAGGCTTAACGCTTACTGATGCTTACTGTTGGCTTACTTGTGCTTTGTCACAGAGTACTTACATACAGAGGTCTCATTTCAGGTTAATTTAGCACAAGGGATTTTTTCAGTCCGCCATATGTTCTTAGCAAGTGCCCTAAAGAGAGACAGTCGCCCCCTGAAAACATATTGAAATTCAATGTTCCAGGGGGTGAATACCTCTCTTAAGGGCACTTGCTAAGAACATGGCCTCCAGCTATTTCGGTAATAACTACCTAACGGTTTTCCCACAGAAGTGAGATTTCTGTATGTAAGTAATCTGTGACGATATATCGCTTATGTTCCTACCTTCGATATGAAAATATCACGATAATACCTAAATTGAACTGAATAATTAAGAAAATTGGTTAAAATTTTGCACAGGGCTAGCTTGCGTTCACTTGGTCACTTGCTGATCCGAATCTTTTCTTACAGGACCAGGTTGGAGACCAACGTGATTGCTTTATTCCAAACCCTTCCTGCAAAGATCCAAAAGTGTTTCATTGGTTTGGAAAGTTGATGGGAGCAGCATACCGCAGTGACGAGAGCTTGGCATTGTATTTCCCTCCCTATATTTGGAAATTGCTGGTCGGTGAACATGTCACATGGAGTAAAGATTTTTCCAATGTCGATGCAGTGGCTGTCAACATGATCAGTAAGTACATGGAAAAAATTAGAATTTTTTAGGGGCATTTCGGCGACTCCACACATACAATTTTGAAAAATAGGGGGAAAATTGATCAAGCCCTTTTAAAGGGCTATTATTTGTCAGAAATAAAAATTTTTATAAAGCAATTGCGACCGCAAATTAAAAAGTGATACCCCAACGTTTGCTATGGCAACAATGACAATTGGGAAGGGAGGAGGGAAGCAGCTGATGAATTAGCCATTTCCAAAAGTCCTGGGTCTAGTCCACTGAGCTATACTATAACTGGAGGACGTGCTCGGCATCAAAAAGTGTCGCCAAAAACATGGCGGATTTCGGCCTTTGCTGACGCCAGAATGACGCCATCTGGTTCCTTTTGCTCATACAATTACCACTGAACAAGGCTCAATTTTGAGCCCGCTACAATTTTCACTCCCCCTGATTTTTGCAAAAAATATTTTGTTGTTTTTGCAGTCGTAGTTTTGGATTTTTGACATAATTTTTGGACGTCGACTATTTTTTTCAAAGATGTGCAGTTTGTACAAGTTATCCTTGTTTGCTAAAGACAATACACCTAGAGAAATATCGGCAAAGACGATATTTGAAGCCAGTTGAGACGAGCTGACAGTCTCGGACGGGTAAATAATATTTCACAGTTCAGTGAGTTCACATTCTCGAGAACCTGAAATACTGTAAATATTTCGTGAAAAATTGGTCTTTTTGGTGGGAATGATTATATTTAAATACGATGGATAATGCTTTATTTTGGCTACGAGTATTTAAAGTTTTGGTTGTGGAAAATTCGTGGACTTATAGTTTCATTTATTTTTATTAAATATGGCTGATATGTTGTATAAATGGTTACAATTACACATGTCTAAGCTCTTTGTATCTTGATAGTGTTTTGGAAATTTTTGATTTCCTACAAGTAGTATGAAACCATACATGTATCAGTATTTTGTGTTATTTACTAACTTTATACATGGTGCTTTTGTGGGGAATATAATACAATGTGCATGATGTCATTTGTGGGAAGAAGACATTTCAACTAATGTGGAAAGCAGATGGCATTATAGTTACTGTCTTCTCTGATAGCTTTTTGATAAAATTTCAATGAGGGGCTTGACACCTCATTTTTTTTATCAAAGGTATTATATGCATTGCCCAGTACCCACTCATTGCCCCACTTAATCCCTCCCTTTCAATTTCAAGTAAGGAAATTAAAAAAAATCAATTTTCAATATTCCCTGCAGGCCTACTATAGGTCATTGTGATGAATCACAATATTTGAGGAAAACTATATAACAATTTTACCGATGACCTCTCCCATATTTTACTGATCAGAATTCCTTTTTCTGATTTTATCAACAATCTTAGCAGAAAATGGGGGTGCACAACCCCTTGGCCCACACACAAGGTACACCCCTGAGTTAAGCCATACTGTACTTCAGACACCCTTGGCTTAAAATTCAGTATTTTTTTGTGCATTTCTCTTTGTCATTTCACATGCTTTTTTCTTTGCAAAATTATCCCACATTTATAACACAGTACACAGCTGAAGTAATTTAATTTAACTTTTTCAAAGAATATTAATTAATTACAATAAATAATTTTAAAATCTAAACTGTTCTAATAACTTTGTTGCCCCATTGGCTATGGCTAATTTGCTCTGCTGTTCAGTATCTTGAAACTTCTAGGGGTACTTTTACTAGGAGGTACTACTGGTCCTGGCCAGTACACCACAACTCCAGCTATTTGAACCTCCAAAGACCTTGTGTTTCATTCTTGTCCACACTAAAGTTTCAACCTAAATAAGAAAAGTGAGTAATGTTTAAATATATTGTAGTTAGCCAGTCTATCATTGTGAGGATTATTCAGACAGATATCAGACCCTCACTACAGGGGATCAGATATTGGTGTGATCTCTAGATGGAAGCAGGACAAACCCCTCTATCATAGTAAAATGTTTGAGGACATATATTAAACAACTGAAGGAGAAGGGTGTTAATTAACTTGCAAATTCCTCTTTTTGGGAGGTGTGAATGTATTGTGGAATTACCCATCAATGCTTGGCTTTGGGTCAACTTTCTTTGTGTTGAGGATATCAACAAAACATTTACTTGTATTGCAGATGTGGTATATGCACATAATAGAGATCTATTGCAGCATAAAATGTTGCCCCATGGCCATCACAACTCAAGCTACTGTCAAAAGTACCATATACAAATTGGTTGTGCACACCTACACCCCACATATACATGAATAACTGCACAGTAGGCAAGTGTTGTTTAATACAAAATCTGGCAAAGACTGAAAGACTATAGCAGTTTAATAATATAAAGTTAGGATAGTCACAGGAAACTTATTTATCAATATTTTAAATTAAATCCAGAGCTTACTACAAAATGCTTACAATGCTTATTGTAAGTGTAAGGGTTTTAATAAATGGTATATAGAAGGACACAAAATATTTAAAACTACTGTAACTGGCAATAAAAACCGAGATAAAAACACAAAAGCCCGAGGTTGAAACAAAAGCAAAATTACATACATGCACACAAATTTTTTAGCCATCTGAAAAGTTTTTAAAAAATACTTCTTACCTGAAGAAAATACTCTTCGTTTATAGCGTATTGTAGCATCCACAAGCGGATAAGAAAGGCATTTTTTAGTCGACTTTGTAAAACAAGCCAAGTAGGAGAAAAATATTTTTAGCTCGAAACAAAATCATTTTTCCGTTTTATCGAAAATCCAGGGGGGTGAAAGACACCGTCAGAAGCAGAGGATCGCGGTTTGTCAGCGGTAAATACCATTGCCAAAAGGAACCAGATGGCGTAAGCAAACGTGAAAATCCGCCATGTTTTTGGCGACACTTATTTGACTGACGGAAGATAGGAGCAGCTCCTCCAGTAATATTATAGCTCAGTGGTCTAGTCGCGCAAATCCCATTTTGGGTAATCGTTCCATGTTTCGCGCACCAATATAGTAAACGTTATGTAATGGATATTATAGTGTACTGAAAAGTTAGCTGGATACCTACATACACGTATATACATACCCTAACCCTATCCTTAAACCTAACCCTAACCCTAGTACCTAACCTCTAACCCTAACTTATATTGGTGCGCGAAACATGGAACGATAACCCCATTTTAGAGGGACAAATATGGCAGCACACATTATAATTAAATTAAAAGTTTAATTGTAAAAAGGAGATATTTCATTTCTGGTCGTCTAAAAAGTTGATATTTGATAGTAGATACTTCTACTCTTTCACATATTTGACGCCTGTCACCATATATTTTACCTCCAACCGACCCCAGAATGCACTGTGATCTCCTTTAGGAAAAGGCTAATTACATGCTGTGCGAGCAACTCTGCATATTGTACTAACATTTTCTTCGTTGTTGATGCAGACAATATTGAATCAATCAAAAAGGAAGAATTTGATGCAATGTATGGCCATGACTTGACCTTCACCACAGCTTGTAGTGATGGTAGTATAGAGTCAGTCAAAGATGATGGCCGTCAGTTGCTGGTAAATTATGAGGCTAGGTTGGAATATTGCCAACTTGTGAAGAAGATTAGAATGTTTGAGTTTATTGACCAGGTATGTGCATAAATACTTACGCTTGAGGTAAAGTAAGAGTAATCCCTTCTTGGTGCAGTGTTACTATACAGGAGCAGGCCTTGAAATATCTTTTACAGGGCCGTCTGACAAAATGTCCGATGACGTTGAGTTTGGGTCGGACATATGTCCGATGATCTTCAGTTCACTTAAATTGATTCGGAAGGAAATAAATCTGATTATTAATTCTGAACACTATGTGCTATGAAGATATTAAATAATTTGTTTCTTTCATACTTATTTCCAAGCCAAAATTAACTTGCTTTCCAGAACAGCAGTATTAAAAAAGACTTTGACAACTCAAGCCCGTTTTCCACTTCACCATTTCGTTCGCCACCCCGCGCTCGACTACATTAAAACAACATTTCCAGTTCACCTTCATACAATAGTACTCTGACTTTCCATTTAACATATATTATAAGCCTCTAGTTCTGGACTGGGGTACATTTTGATTTACGTTGGACAAAGCTACAGTTCAGTCGGACACCAATACACTCAGGTCGGACAAACATTAAACCTCAGTTTCATTTAGGTCGGACAGAATGTCCGGTGGTTTCCTCTCTACGTCGGGCAATTTCACGAATGTGTCGGAAAATGTCAGTGACCGACCGATATTTTAAGGCCTGCAGGAGGAAACGGATACTAAACAAGTAACTTTATTTACGCTGGATAGCTCTATCGCAGCACAGTCCATCAAGATATGATGGTCTGGAAACTAAACAGAAGTCATTGTGTTATAGTTTTGTCTGAGTTTATGTTATATTTGGGTACGGTCACAATGATTGAGCTCCGATAGGGATTTTAATTTAATTTTAATTTTATTTGGATCGATATTCACAATTTTTAACAAACAAAAGAATATAACAGAACAAATATTACATTAAGTTAAAATAACCTAGATATCAAATGTAGATCCAAAAAGGTAAGGTACGAACGGGACTCTTATAAAAGGTCCCATGCAGGGCACCCACCTCCAAAATAGTAATCATGATAACAAATAGAACATCGCGAACTCAAACTCGCTAAAGGGTTCAGGCAAGCAAAAAATTGAATGGAATAGTTAAACTCGAAATTCAAAATAGTCACCGCTTCAGAGAGTTTGAGTAAACGTGGCTCTATTTCCTTAAACTGGGCGTGTCAAGTAAACTAAGAGACAGATTGAACATGCATGTAAAGGTAAAGGCCAGCTTCCACACAGGAAGATCCTCCGCTGAACAGAAACGGCGGGAGAGCTTTCATTGTGTTAAATTCACGACGTCCACGTCATTCGTGTTGATTAAATTCATTTAGTTCGAAACCAGAGGTCCAAACGAAATGAGATGAAACGTGTAGCCACGATCAATGCTATTTAATAATGTTGAAACAAAGGATTTGTGCACTGTGAGGTACAGTTCAACATCAAACAAAGGTCTTTACTTTGTGGCTTTGAAGTTTGCCAGGTTTCCAGACCATCATATCTTGACAGACAATAGCATAGCCTGAATATCAAGCGCTCGAGCTCGATCAGTTATAAACTGTTCCCTCTATATAAGTCCAGTAAGAGCAATCCCTTTTTGGTCCAGTGTTACTATACAGGAGGAAGTCTAAACTTTATTTATGCTTGATCCTCCTGTGATAACATTTATTTTGATTTATGGCCCTTACTGGACCACAATAAATCGGTATAAGTGTTACCATACAGGAGGATAACTAAACAAAACTCACTTTTTAACTGGTCTCCTCTCGTCATTCTCAACTGTTCTCCCTATAAGAGATCAACAAACTAAGCCAAGTTATATACCATACATTGATTACACATTAATTTATATTTAGATAAAAGCAATTCGTGATGGTTTCCTGACAGTAATTCCTCAATCATTGCTTGAATTGATAACATCACAAGAACTTGAGAGAGGTGTTTGTGGCTTCAATGAAATATCTATATCTTTACTCAAAGAATCAAGTAAGTTCCATAAGTTTCAAATAGTCGCATTTTATCCTGTCTACATTCTGCTTTTTTTCCCATTTTACCGATCCCAGAATCCCTTGACAACTATTTTGCATATCTATTATGGTAAGAGATGATAGTGCTCTGAAAGAGTGCTCAAATCTGTTCATTGTTATTGTAATGATATGTATACAAAATGTATATGCATTTCCGGTTGCTATGTATATATATGAGCAACTATGTAATTGTAGTTGAGTGTTGATAATACATTGATAGAACTAGAGTCTAAAGCAGACGTTACATGGTGTCAGGAGTTATGTCGGAGTTATAAGCGAAACTCACGTTGTTTGAAATTCATGAGTGAATAGTATGGCTGAAGAACATACAAATCCGTCCGAAGAACCAGGGCAAGCAGCAATTGCCAGAGGCATTCATATGATTCCATTGCCAGCTGCATTAATTGTAAGAGGAAATTTGGCTTCGAACTGGAAGAAGTTCAGAAGAATGTGGAATAACTATGAGATAGCACACGGTTACGACAAGAGTCGAAGGAACTAAGAACAGCAACGTTGCTCACTTGCATTGGAGTTGAAGCGCTTGAAACATACGAAGGTCTAGAGTGGGCGAGCGAAGACGAGAAAATAGATATAGATATTGTCCTGCAAAAACTTGAAACCTTTTATGTTGGGGCTACAAATGTTATCTACGAGCGATACAATTTTAACCGACGAGTACAAGAACCCAGCGAGTCGTTCGAAGCGTATGTCGTTGCGTTAAGAGCTCTGGCTAAATCGTGTAATTACGGACAATTGACTGACGATTTTATACGTGATAGAATTGTCGTGGGAGTTCGAGAGAATAGCCTTCGAAAGAAGTTACTTCAAACAAGAGATTTAACGTTGAGAAACTGCATTGATATCTGTCGGGCGAGTGAAACTACAAATCAACAGATGAGAAATATGTCGCAAACCGAAGATATACACGCAGTTCGCATGAAGAGAGATGGAAAGAAAGACAAAGGAGATCAACGAGGCAGAACGAAGGGATTAACTCAAGAACGTAAACAACCCGAACAAAAGCAGCCAAGCATATTAAAATGCAAATATTGTGGCAAAACCCATCGGCGGATCAAAGAAGAGTGTCCAGCGTGGGGAAAGAAGTGCTTAAAGTGCAACAAGGCAAATCATTTCGCGTCGCAATGTCGAAGTAAACAAGGCTCGGAGAAAGGAAACATTCATGGGGTCGGCGAGCTGTTTGAGAGTGAGGATGAAGGAGCTGAGTACGTAGATTACGTTCTAACAGTTCAAAGAAAGTCTGATAGGTCTGTCACAGAAAACAAGTTTCCCAAGAGAATCTTTGCACATATGGTATTAAATGAGACGAGTGTGAAGTTCCAGCTGGATAGCGGAGCAACCGTGAATGTTCTACCGTTGCAGTTGTATCGAGATATTTTCAACGATCCGAAGCTTGTGCACCTGAAAAAGACACAAACGACGTTGGTGATGTTTAATAAATCTAAGATGAACGTATTGGGAAAGTTAAAGACGATGACTATCAACCCTAGAAATGAGATGAAGCATGCAGTTGAATTCGTGGTGGTGAATGAGGATTACAAACCATTGCTGGGTTTTGAAACAATCCAGAAGTTTGAGCTAATGACAGTGAACACCGAGAACGTAATGTCAGTCCGAAGTCATTCCGGAATCAATCCGAAGTCGTTCCGAAATCAGCACGAGAGAAATCCGACGTTTGTCCGGAGTCATTCCGAAGCGAGCCCGAAGTCAATCCAAAGTCAGTCCGAAGTCATTCCGAAGTCAGACCGAATTTATTCCGAAGTTACGAAGACAGCCCGAAGTCAACCGAAAGTCTGTACAGAGTCTGAAGTCTTCAGCGGGTACAAAGACGTGTTCACAGGTGAAGGCCGATTTGAAGAGAAGCTGCATCTCGAAGTTAATAAAGAAATTCCACCCACTAAAACACCTGTTCGGAAAGTACCAATCGCCCTCAAGAAACAGATTAAAGAAGAGCTAGATCGACTAGTAAAATTGGATGTCTTGACGAAAGTGGAAGTACCAACGGATTGGATCTCGTCCATGGTCGCTGTTCAAAAGAGAGATGGAAGCGTTAGACTATGCATAGATCCAAAGCCATTGAACAAGGCATTGAAGCGAAATCATTATCCACATCCAGATATAGAAGATCTTCTACCCAACTTGGCAAAGTCCAAAGTATTTTCCGTGGTGGATGCAAAGAATGGATTTTGGCATGTACAATTAGATCAAGAAAGTAGCTATCTAACGACGTTCGCAACGCCTTGGGGCCGTTACAGATGGAAGCGGATGCCGTTTGGAATATCTCCAGCTCCAGAAGAGTTTCAACGATATCTAGATTTAGCGCTGGAAGGATTGGAAGGAATTAAAGCAATTTGTGATGACATACTTGTCTGCGGAGTTGGTGAATCTTATGAAGAAGCAGTGCAAGATCATGATAACAAGCTGGTGAGTCTGCTTGAGCGCTGCAGAAGTAAAGGAATAAAACTGAATTCAAAGAAGCTGCTGTTTCGTCGCAACCAAGTGAGTTTTATGGGTCATTTAATCACGTCGAAGGGACTGAAGCCTGATCCAGTAAAGGTGGAGGCGATCCAGAAGATGCCGATACCGTCAAACAAGCAAGCGGTGCGACGACTCCTTGGAATGGTTAATTATTTGCAAAGATTTTCACCAAATTTGTCTTCAATCACAGCACCGTTAAGAGAGTTACTCAAAGAAGAGAATGTGTTCCACTGGAGAGAAGATGTCGAAGGGAAGTGTTTCAGCGAAGTGAAGAAGATTTTGTCATCACCTCCCTTGTTGAAATACTTTGATCCAGATCAAGATTTGGAGTTGCAGTGCGATGCTTCTGAAAAGGGGTTAGGGGCCTGCCTAATGCAAGATGGTCAACCGATTGCCTACGCGTCGCGGTCTCTTACTAATACCGAACAACAGTATGCTCAAATTGAAAAGGAGATGCTGGCGGTCGTATTTGGCACCGAAAAGTTTGAACAATATGTTTATGGACGACGTGTGAAAGTTGAAACCGATCACAAGCCCATTGAGAGTATTATGAAGAAGAGTCTCCTCAGCGCGCCAAAAAGATTGCAACGTATGATGCTTCGTCTGCAGAAATATCATCTAGAGGTGACATACAAGAGAGGATCCCAGGTGTATCTCGCAGATACCTTGAGTCGCGCATATTTGGAAGGAAGCTGCAGCCCACAGAAGTTTGATGAAGAAGTATTGTCGACCGGAAGTAGCATTGGGAAAGATCTAGAAAGCATAGATATGGTCTGTAACCTTGCAATATCCGAAGAATCGTTGACAATGATCAAACAAGCTACAGAGGTAGATAACGACCTGGAAAAGCTGAAAACGGTTATCAGACAAGGATGGCCGGAGACGAAAGATCAAGTACCACCAAGTCTGGCAGAGTACTTCAATTTCCGTGATGAATTGTCAATTCAGAATGGATTGATTTTCATGGGAGAGCGGTTAGTCATTCCTTATGGAGTGCGATCACACATGAAAGCAAGAATTCATGCAAGTCATATTGGCGTCCAGGGGTGTCTGAGACGTGCAAGAGACAGTGTGTATTGGCCTGGAATGACGAAAGAACTGACCGAGTATATTTTGAGATGTCCAACATGCAACGCCTATCCACAAGGTCAGCAGAAAGAACCACTGATCAGTCACGCGATTCCCGACCGACCATGGGAAAAGGTTGGTAGTGACTTGTTTGAGCATGAAGGGGGTGACTTTTTAGTGACAGTTGACTATTTTTCCAATTTCTTTGAGTTGGATCAATTAAGAAGCAAGACCAGCAACGAGGTCATTGGGAAGCTGAAGTCACATTTTGCAAGATATGGAGTTCCTGATCAACTTATCACAGATAACGGACCGCCATATAACTCAGAAGCCTTTCGTGAATTTGCAAGGGAGTTTGAGTTCGAGCATATCACCAGCTCTCCTGGATATCCGAAGTCCAATGGAAAGTCAGAGAATGCAGTGCGCACGGCTAAACGGTTGGTGAAGAAAGCGAAGGAGAGTGGCAGAGATCCATATTTATCGTTGTTAGATTGGCGTAACACTCCAAGCGAAGGTGTTGGATATTCACCCGTACAACGATTGCTGTGCCGGCGAACTAGAACATTAATTCCAACAGCAAAGAATTTGCTAAAGCCTACAATTCCAAAGGGTGTCGACCGTAAATTATTGGAGCAGAAAAGCAAGCAAGCTTTTTATTACAATAAGGGTACGAAGGAATTATCGGAGTTGAAAGAAGGTGATCTGGTTCGTATCAAGCCGTTGAAGTTAGCAGAGAAACGTAAGCCATGGGTGCAAGCGAAAGTCGAAGGAAAAGTGGACATTCGATCCTATCAGGTACGAACAGAAGATGGTCGAGTGTACAGACGAAATCGACAGCATCTTCGACATTCAAGAGAACAACCAGAAGAAAGTACTACAGCTTTTGATTTCCAGCCACCTTTGATTGAAACAAGTGCTACAAGGGACAGTGTCGAACAATCAAGTCAAGATCACGTTGTTAGTAAACCACCTTCTGATCAACCACAGCCTGCAGAGGTCGAGGGAGATTCGGCAGAACAACCGACATCTATGAAGACTACACCTGTTGTGTTAGATGGTCAACAGAGAACACGGAGTGGAAGAGTTGTTAGAAAACCCTGTCGATATCAAGATTATGGGACAAGAGCCCGTGACTATAGTTAGATAAATTAAGTTATAGTGACTATTAGTTAGATAATTATGAACTGACTAATAACTTTATTCTACAGTCTTTGTTAATTTCGTATGAATGGTTATTTAGAATATTCATTAGTGTCCTTGAGAAACTTTGAAAAAAAACAATAATTTAAAAAAAACAACTTTACTATAGTAGAGAGAACTTTCTAGTTTAGAGAAGGAGGGATGTAATGATATGTATACAAAATGTATATGCATTTCCGGTTGCTATGTATATATATGAGCAACTATGTAATTGTAGTTGAGTGTTGATAATACATTGATAGAACTAGAGTCTAAAGCAGACGTTACAGTTATGAAAGTCTCACTGTTCTCTGACAATGCCATTCGCGATTACTCGTTGTTTTCTGGAAACTCTGCAACTCCAAAGTCGCTATAGAAAATGAGCTTCGGTTTTATGTTGAGACGGGTTTCCGTAAATCCTTAATAACCACACCGCTCCTAATTTCAAACAAATGTTTATTTCGAGATGCGATATGGAAACAGCATATAATCTCAGAAGTAATTATATAAATGTGGCACTTCCAATGCGAAGAAGAGAATTTCTCAAAAAACGTTCCAGTACAGCGAAACGTTCATACACAGGCTCCATCGAGCTATACCTTAAACCGTCCAGTTCTCGATTTTAACTGCATGTGTCACATCGCGACCTTGTATTTGTATTAATAATTATTTGTTTGTTATTGTAGCTATCTGTCTTTTATTACGGGAACCACTGAGTATTTTTACAAAATACGAAACAACGATAACTCAGAAAAGGAAATTTTAAATATATAGTTCTACTGTATAGCTTTCGATTGGAATGCATGCAGCTGATGATGATGAATAATGCATAGTCGAAAGCTAGATTACAAATTTGCCTTTTCGGAGTTACCGTTATTTTGTATTTTGTGGCTTGTATATTTGTCAATGTATATTTGTCAATTTGTCAATGTGTATTTGTCAATGTCTTGTATATATGTACAGTCCGGATGCCTCCCCCGCACACACACGTTGAAAGCAGCTTTTGCTGATGGCGCTAGCGTCGTTAAATAAACTCTTTTTACGTGTGTTCATACTACGCCGTTACTGTTTGTTTACTAATTAAATTAGCACTCATGTAAACCCAAAATATTTCGTATATAGAGCTAAGGAATTTAAACGAAAAGCATTCGAATTTACTGTTTTGAGATCAGGGGCCGGTTGTATAAAAAAGTGATTAAAGTTAAGTATAATTAAGTGGAAAAGTCAACCAATACGAAGCGCCTATTTGAGAGTTAATCACTATTTAACTACAAAATAGTGATTAAAAAAGCGATTAAGAGTTTTATACAACCGGTCCCTGAGATGCTTGGTTTGCATGTATGCGGTACAAAAATGTAACGGCGTTTGTGTTCACACGAAGCCGCTAAGCACTCCGTTCTTCGCTCCGTTAAGAAACCGTGCTCAAATTGTTACGGCAAAGTGACGGTTTCGAACAATTTTCCTCCGTCGTAGTGTGAACGCGACCGCTAATTGTGACTTTTCTGCGCCGTTTTCAAAGCGCTCCGACGTAGTGTGAACGTTGCTTGAGGTCATTTCAAAACATTCACACCCGAAACTCTTCACTGACCAGGTTTCTTTTTCAGTTCATTATGGCGACGAACTGTCTTCGGATTCCGAATGTGTCATTCAATTATGGAAAGTGTTAGAAAACTTCAATGCGGACGACCGTAGTCGGTTTCTACGTTTTATAACGGGACGTAAAAGGCTGCCAGCTTGTATCACACTTTCTCAGATGTGTGGGGAGAAAGACACATTACCAGGGGCTTCTACATGTGCTAGTACACTGATGTTGCCATCTTATTCCTCTGTTGAAGTAGCGGAGAAGAAACTTAGGTAATTATTAGTTTTATATGTTGTTTTTCTTGCCTCTCAAATGAACTAATTTAGTTTCAATCTCGTACCCAGGGCTTCTGCGCTTGTGGCTCTCAGCGGATGTCATCACGCGAATGAAAACGATTTTCGCGCGCTTTTTGTTTTCCTTTCCTTTGACTTGATTCAGACTCGACTTGTTGATGTCTGCCGTAAATGACTCAAGTTAAATCGACTACAACTTGTTAGTCGGTGTGGCCACCTGTGGTGCCCACCGACTCTAGGTTTGCTCTTTGGTAGACCACAAAATGACGAGTTACGTCATTTTTTGAGCAATAAAAATCAAAATGGCGACCATGGAAGAATAGCGTACAAAAGTTCGCTATTGACTTGTAATCAATATTTTGGTCCTGTCGTGTCTTTTCTTTTGGGTTTTTTGCAAGAAATATATTAAGAATTGACGAGGAGGCAAGATGGATAATTTGTACATGATTTTATATATTTTGGTCTTTTGGATCTTAGGATCTACATAAATTAAACTTAAAGTCAGACATCGCCTGCTTCTTTCGATGGTCTACATCCTATTCCTATTAAATAGCATTGAAGGATTAAGGTTCATTGGGGCAAAATACTGTATTACCAAAAGCTGAAAACAAAGTGAAAAGGAGCAACTCAATTTGCTGATATCGTGTGGAGGTACTTGGAAACTTTCTTGGAACAATAACATATATTATTTTTCCAGTTGGCCGCCTAATTTATACTGCACGTTGGTATGTAGAATAGTAGATATGACTAAAGCCGCAGCGTTACTGCTACATGGTTGTAGACTAGGCCATTAGCTAGGCGCTTGGTAATCATGCGAAATACCTCTCCTCTTACGAGGCATTCTATCAGACAGAAGTTATAATGCGTCTAGTTTCGAGGGGAAGAATATTCTTGCCTTTCAACCTTCGACACACTAACTAGCTAAGTTCGGTTTTAACTTGGCCAGTTGGTAGCATAACACCAGCCGATATGTGTAATAACAACAGGGTAAATGCTTATTTTAGCACATACTATATACTGTACTGTATACTATATATGACTATTAAAACAACATTGCTACATGGTTGTACTTGTTTTAACTATAGACCCATTGCACTGACGTCACAAATCCTTAAGTAGAGTGTCCTCCAGATGCTCCCTAACGTTTTCTGTTCTGGTACAACAACCACATACAGCGCAAAAATTAACCTGAAGGATTAGCACTAGTTTCCATCTGTGAAATTGACGTGACGTCATTTTCAGAAGATGGAAGAGGTGTTAAATGCTTATGTGACTAACCCAAACCCTACCCCTACTCTAACCCCTAACCGCAACTCTAGCCCTAACCCTAACCCTAACCCTAACCCTAACCAAATTAATAAAAAGATCCAGAAAGAAACGACTTTAGAAATTGATCAAATTACGTAATGTCAGTTTGGTAGATGTAAACAAGTGAAAACCTACCTGAAGCCCCACATGCGGTTCACATATTGCAAGCCAGGGTATGTCAATATGTTACAGAAAGTGCGGGGTGGACTTGATCAAATTCCCTAAATCATCGACCAAGTTCAGCTATTGATTCGACTCGAGTGGAGCCATCACACGCAAATGACTCGACATAACTCGGGGCTTGATCTCCAAGCGACTTGACTAGATTAATCGTGACTCAACCTTGGAGCAACTCGCTACCACACTGTCCTATTGTGCGCAAAACATGAGCCTATAAACTAGAAATCACTGTGCCACGTAAGTACCTCGTAAAATAGTTATACGGTAAGACATTATCGTGTTGATTAATTTATTTTATTTATTTTAGGTACGCTATTTACAACTGCATCGCTATTGACACAGACACAAGTCCATGGTAAAGTACTGAAGTTATTCAAATTTTCGCACTTCACAAATGGAGCACGAGGTAGAATTGATTGCAACAAGTAATGACCCGACTCATGGTAGAGGCGAGTCACATAAGGGACACAAGAAGCACCAGGTTTCTACCCGGACGCCACCAGGTAGAACATCACGATTTAGGGCGTGTTCATATGAGCCCAGTTAACCGGAAAACTCGCCTGAGTGAAACCTGCCTGACCTTTGTTAACGCATAAAGAATAGGCAATTCCAGCTTTTAATTTATGCGCGCAGGGGGTGACGGGAAGTAAGGTATCATATTGCTGATTATTCTGAAAAAGTTCAATAAAAACTGCCGAAACAACCGAAATACAGTAGAACCCCGCTAACTCGAACTCCCAAGGGGAACGAAAAATTGTTCGAGTTAGCGGGGGTTCGAATTAACCGGACTTGGTGTCAGATTTCATTTATTATGTTAATAATTAATAAGGTATAAAAGTTTTATTATACTGTTCATCAAAATTACAAAAGGTTTAATTGTGCATTCCTATAACTAAAGTTCTTTATAGTCAGTATCTTTTTAACTTGGGTGATGGAGGAGGCATGCAATTTCCATGCAAACTAAAGTTCTTTGGACATGAAAATTATGTAGAAATTTACAAAAGGAACTAAAAAAATTAGATCAATAACAATCGTCGCAACTATGTGTATAATCCCTTAAAATTTATGATCATTTATCGTCAGACCGATTAAATTAACATTTATCGTCAGACCGATTTATGATCAGACCGATTAAATTGTTATTTGAATAAAAATCCAAGTTACCGGTTGTCAAAATGCTATGTTCTGACATTTTAAGGTTTGCCGGTCCACGACTCGAAAACAAAGTTCGAGTTAACGGGATTAATTTGACCAAGGGAAAACAAAATTTGTTCGAATTAGCGAGGAGTTCGAGTTAAGCGAGTTCGAGTTAAGCGGAGTAAATTACTATAAAAAACAGTGTCAGATCCAAGGGGAATTGGATTTAGTTCGAGTTAGCGAGGAGTTCGAGTTAAGCGAGTTCAAGTTAGCGGGGGACTACTGTATGTCAATATTTACAAGTATAAGCTATCACTCTGTGTTTATGCAGCCGCCATTTTTATTTTTTCAGCATAATCAGCAATGTGATACCTTACTTCCCATCTCCCCCTGCACGCATAAACTAAAAGCTGGAATTGCCTATTGGATTTGTGTTCGTATGAGAAACGAGTCAACCCGGCTAGGTGGGATCTCAGTCAAGTGGGATTATATTTTCCATGTGAAGGCTAAATCCTACCTGACCCGTGATGGACTCTCTTGCTGATTTTGACCTAGTACAACGGCACAGTTGGAAAATACAAAAAAAAAATACATTAATTGAAGGTGCGGTTTGTTTAATGACAACAAAAAAATATTTCAAAGACGCCATGTTTACATAATAATGTCATCCCACCGAGGTGGGATATTTGGTGAGATAAATAAGTCATGTGAACACAGAAATAAGTCATCCCACTCGGGTTAACTTCCCGGCAAACCAGGCAAATATGAACACGCCCTTTGAAAGGCAATAGATCTTTATCATGCACGCTTTCTGCATGAGTCCATTTAAAATTTGATTAATAGTAAGTACAGAAAATTTAGAGGCTTTATTTTGTAAATTGTGGCGCAGCGCTATTTTTAAAGGGTAAATATCAACCTAAAATGAACGTGTTTTGTGCTTGGATTCATAAAACAATATATAGTGATCAGTGTTTATGACTCGTTCTTTAGAAAGGTAATTTCTATAGTTCATTGTCTTTTATTGTTATTAACAACCAATCACAAAGCCCGTTCATACAAGTTGGTGCAGGCGACCATTTTTAAAACCATATGAACTTCAAAATTTTATTAGAAAATATACGGGGATTTGCATGGGATCGAGGTTTGATCGAGCGCACGCGTGCTCATTCAATGCAAAATTCCGAAAAATCCGCTATTAAAGACGAACTTTTAGAAAGGACGCTACACCAACACAATTCTTAAAATATAGCCTTTTATTTGTGTGTACTCACATGGTCAAGCGTGATAAAGATTTAGTCGTCTGCCTACACAGACGAATTGTTGTTTTCCTTTGCCGAAATTCTTGATTTCTTCTATAAATCGGGTCATTAGTAGCCATTTTACGTGAGCAACACAGATAATTGAGCAAGGCACAATCACGTTGTGTGAGGTATTGTGTAAAATTTATATTAGAACTTTATAAGATATTCCTTTAAAGTTAAAATGTGCACTAGTTCACATTTGGCAGCTTAATAAGTGACACAAATTGAGCTTGTCAGTTTCCTAAAACAGAATTTAAGTATGATAGTACAATATATAAAATTGTGTATAAAAGACATTTACAATATTAAAATTCTTTCATAACCCAACATAAACACTATATTGTCAACCTATTCCCTTGTCTTTCTATAAAATATGTAGTTTATCACAGACTACTTAATGTATCCACAAATAGGATGGACGTAAAAAACCATACATTGTACTTCCAGTGTGGTGCCAGCATGCGCAAAACAAGTCCACCACAAACGCAAAGACATTGGTGTCAATTGTTCCGAAGGTTGTCAAAAACTCAAAATGGAAGCGAGAAGGAGCGACTGGTGTTTTGTCTTTTCTGTGAAAATGCAAGCGGAATGATGAATGTGACAACCTAAAAACTAGAAATAATTACAGTCTACATGTGCAAGAAGCAGTATTATGCAAGAAAATGAACCAAAGGTGACTGTCGATAAATTTATTGTATAAAAAGTTCTTTAACTGAACCATACAAAGATATTTTTCGTAGGTTCATATGATCCACATTTTTCTCAATAACTTTTTTTGCGTAACATGTAAATTTTTGCGTCGACTATATTTAAAGGTTAATGCACCAATTCGTTAAGCAAATATTCTAAGACAATTAAGAAAACAACTATAGCACACACAATGTTGTGGGAGAAGGGTTGTCGAGGAGAAATACTCCGATTATACTTTAAACTGTGGTCAAAGTGTCGCCCCACAGACTCACTATTACAGTAATACTAGAAATACATACATGCAGTAATCCCTTGCCTATATTTTCCAAACATTGACTTACATGAAGCACTGTACTAGAATTGATCAACACTGAACGCAAGCTCGCGTTTACGTCAGCGTTGCCATGGCAACACGACAATTTTAATTTTTGTGGCTAGCCCGTTTGCGGGCTAGCCACTATCATGTTTTCCAGTCCGGATTTTCGTAAAGTATCGGCAAGTATCGGGAACAATCGGAAACTCAAAGTGTACATTTGCATTTCGAGGCATTTGCGGACTTCTACACTAGCATCGCGTTTAATATTCCCAATTGGTCCTAGAACGGTACCTTGGGGTACTCCGCCATTAAGTTTTTGCCAGCTTGACGTACAAAGACCAATCTATACACGTTGTTCCCTTTCTGTTAGAAAGTTTGCGATCCAGTTAATTATATTTTGTGGGACGTTCATGTACGAAAGTTTGCACAGTAAAATGTTACGATCAATATGATCGAAAGCCTTAGCGAAATCCAATAGAAAAATCCTTATGACGTTTTTTGGCTCAGTGAATAAAACTTAAAAGTGCGTGCGTTGTCGACGAACGTTTTAGTGCGCCATATTGTCGCTTATCAATCTTGTCAATAATAAATTCCATCAGCCAAACTGCAATGAATCGTTCACTTATTTTAGCCAATGTAGGTGTAAGGGAAATTGGTCGTAGATCCGTGTTGATATAATTTAAGTTCTTCACCTTTTGGATTGGAATAACGTCCGCTTTTTTCCAGATAGGAGGGATCAATGATTGTTGAAAGGATGCATTTAATATAGATGCTATTGGTAGGGCAAGTGTTAATGAATTAAATTTTAGGACCCAGTTAGGTATGTGATCAGGGCCAGACGATTTTGAAGTTGAAATGGTGGATAATTTGCGGTAAACGTCGATTTCAGTTATGATTAGTTCCGGTAGGGTTTCAGAATAATCGTTTGTAGTTTGCATGGCAACAGGGGTGCTACGTATCGGGTCAAGGTGTTGTGTAACAGATACGAAGGCAGTGTTTATTCGTTCTGCTAAATCATTGCCAGTAATAGTCACACCCTCCGAGATGACGGTCAGTGGTAATTGCTTTTTTGGGTAACCAGCTAATTGTTTAACAGTGTCCCACCATTTCTTGCTGTTCTTATTACCTTTCAACTCAAAATCTCTTGCTCTCTCTAATGCACTGATTTCGTAGTTTGCGATACAGAGGATGGTTTCCTTGGCAAAAGGCCTTTTGCCGGTTAGCAATAAGGTTTTTGTAATTAGGTGTTATCCAAGGTTTATCACTAGCATGCATCTTTACAGTCTTGTTTGGTAGGAAATAATCTAAACCTGATTCAACGACACTATAGAACATGTTCAATTTCATCTCGCATGACTCCGTTCGATACAAACCCAGCCAATTGATCTTGGTTAGCCATTCGTTGAAATCACGTTTAAGGCCCTGTCACACTATTGCGTATGAGAGAAACGTATGAGAAGCGTATGAAAATTAATGAAATAATTTTCATACGCACAAAAATCCTTTGAAATGCCAGCATATGAGTACCGTACATCTGGCATACCTCTAGCGTATTCAGCGTGTGCCTAGAGTATGCTTATCGTATAAAGCATATGTCCAATACGCACAAAATGTTTGAGCATGCTTAAAATTTTTTTTCTGCCTCGCCGTATGCCACCGTACGCGACCGTGCTTAAAACGTATACAACCTATGCCTAACGTACATCTAGCGTATGCCAGCGTATACCGGCGTATGAGTGATATTTTTCATACGCTGGCATACGCTAGTACGATACGCAATAGTGTGACAGGGCCTTTAGTTCTCGCGTTTCCTCGGGCATGTAGTAAAACATGGACTGGACTCATTAGTAAAACATGGACTGGACCCGATTAGTAAAACATGGACTCGATTAGTAAAACATGGACTCGATTAGTAAAACATGGACTCGATTAGTAAAACATGGACTCGATTAGTAAAACATGGACTCGATTAGTAAAACATGGACTCGATTAGTAAAACATGGACTCGATTAGTAAAACATGGACTCTATTAGTAAAACATGGACTCGATTAGTAAAACATGGACTCTATTAGTAAAACATGGACTCGATTAGTAAAACATGGACTCGATTAGTAAAACATGGACTCGATTAGTAAAACATGGACTCGATTAGTAAAACATGGACTCGATTAGTAAAACATGGACTCGATTAGTAAAACATGGACTCGATTAGTAAAACATGGACTCGATTAGTAAAACATGGACTCGATTAGTAAAACATGGACTCGATTAGTAAAACATGGACTCGATTAGTAAAACATGGACTCGATTAGTAAAACATGGACTCGATTAGTAAAACATGGACTCGATTAGTAAAACATGGACTCGATTAGTAAAACATTCCTAAATGTAGTTCCTTGTCTGTTTTTTTGTAAATTGTAATTTTAATAACATCAACTTTAGTGTATAAGAGGGCATGTAGTAAAACATGGACTGGACTCGATTAGGGGCCGACCATTTAACTTTCGAGGGGGGGGGGGATTTTTTCTGGGATCGTTATGTGCAAGTTTTTTTTTATCCCATCACCATGCACGATTTATATTGCCACACTTTCTTTCGCAGCATTTTTTTTCAATAGGTTATACTATTTAGATTCTTTAATTATAGTTAACGTTGAGTTTTCCGCTTCATGCATTGCTCTTAATAATACATATTGCTATGAGGTATAACATTTGGTTCAGGGCCTTTTTTAAGGATGTGTAACTGGAGAGGACATAATTAGCAGAGGACCTGGAGAAGTTCCAGTCGGCAAGTCTGTATCCAGGGCCGTAGCTAGCATGTATAGTTGGGGGGGGGGGCTGTAGGCAAAAAAATTTCCGAATGACGAAAATAATTTCCGAATATATCATGGCATACTAAGCCACGAAGATGTTTGCTATTCGGAAAATGAAGACGCAATTTGCAAACAACAATACGCATATTTTACGCACAGACATATACAGAAGCAGTGCGGTAGGGAGCTTTTGTTTATTGGGGGCAGAAAGCGAGGGCCGGAGGGCCGAGGAAATTTTTAAATTTCGAAATGCCATTTCATAGAAATGTCTTTAAAATGCCATTTGCTGGACTTTGGGGAAGTTTTGACAGAATGCTGATGGTCAGAAAAAAGCGTTTATAGTGACAATACAATTTTATAATATTTTCTCTGTTTAACAACTAAAATTTTGTTCTACTATTATTGCCATAATTTTCCGAATGGCCAACCCGATTTTCTGAATATGTTGATTCTAAAAAGGTTGGGGGGTTAACCACCCCCCAATACCCCCCTCCTCGCTACAACCCTGTCTGTATCACTGCAGCTACCTACAGCATATATATGCATGGTTTAACTAATAAGTATACGTCATAGGGCAGCAGCTCAGGCCATGCTTAACTAGGACTCTGAGACAACTGAGTCGACCACCGAAGGCGCGAGCCTCTAGAGGGGTCTGGTGGCATGCCCCCCAGAAAATTTTGGATTTTTTGAAGCTCAGATAAGCTATTTCCAGCATTTTGAGGAGTTTTCCAACAAGAAATTAACCTTACACTAGTCCCTGAAAATCAAACCAGCTGATCTTCTCGGACTGGTCAAATCGATCCCTGCACCAAATACTGGGGCAGGATATTTTTTTCCCAGTTTGTTAGTGCAGGTATTTTTTTGTTGTTCAGAATAGCCTTGCAGGAATTTTTTTTTCAAAATCCCCCCCCCCCCTCAAAAGTTAAATGGTCGGCCCCTTAGTAAAACATGGACTCTTGGTAGGCATGATGTGCTATTCCATTGAATGATTCAGACCAATTTTTTCCTGAAACATTTAAACATTTTTTCATTGTGTTATATTTTAAGCTGCCGTATTTCTTGAGTCTGTGAGGGGCATGATATTTTTGAAAGTGTCGCGTATCGATTTATTCCACGAGGAACTTCCTAATTATGTACGTTTCTCTGATGACCCCATCCCCCCCCCCCCTCACCTTACAAACCTAACACGAAATTGAATAGAGGTCGGTTGTACAAAGGCGTTTGGCTTAAAGGGTGTATAGGCAAAAAATTAAAAACATTCCTTCTCAATATACATATATTGTAAGTACTTGAACTTAATTTTATCAACTAAATGAGTAGTTTTATGCATTATTATTATGTTTAGACAGAAAAGAAAAGTTTAGTTTGCTTGTAGTCAATAGTTCATAGATTTGTTTAATTTATACAACCGACCCCAGATCTATTTATCGGCCGTTGTTCGCACGCAAACAAATATGTAAATGCTTCATATTTAACTATTGGCAAACGGTTGCCGGTGGTCAGAATGTCTGACACTATCAATCCAAAATTCGTAAATTAGTATTGCAGGAAACATGCCGATTGTCGGAGAATCTTTTTATCGAGTATATATTTATAACTTGAAGAATATCGTGTACACAACGCAACCGCGTCCAAATTACGTTTCTCCTGGGATAAATCGATGTGGACGTGTTAAATAGCAAAGGTGTTTCTGTTTACATAAAAATAAAAAAATCATCTATATCTATATAGCATTACCTAGCTGTCGGTAAATAATTTGGTATTTATTCCACATTTACTTACAATGGCCGATGCTTCTTGAAACTTTACGTTAAATATCGATGAGATCTCTTGTACACTAAAGTTGATGTTATTAAAATTACAATTTACAAAAAAACAGACAAGGAACTACATTTAGGCATGTTTTACTAATCGAGTCCATGTTTTACTAATCGAGTCCATGTTTTACTAATCGAGTCCATGTTTTACTAATCGAGTCCATGTTTTACTAATCGAGTCCATGTTTTACTAATCGAGTCCATGTTTTACTAATCGAGTCCATGTTTTACTAATCGAGTCCATGTTTTACTAATCGAGTCCATGTTTTACTAATCGAGTCCATGTTTTACTAATCGAGTCCATGTTTTACTAATCGAGTCCATGTTTTACTAATCGAGTCCATGTTTTACTAATAGAGTCCATGTTTTACTAATCGGGTCCATGTTTTACTAATCGGGTCCATGTTTTACTAATCGAGTCCATGTTTTACTAATCGAGTCCATGTTTTACTAATAGAGTCCATGTTTTACTAATAGAGTCCATGTTTTACTAATCGGGTCCAGTCCATGTTTTACTAATGAGTCCAGTCCATGTTTTACTACATGCCACGAAACTCGGCCACATAACTGCTACAATATCGCGAATCACGAAAAATAAAAAATGTCGTTAAAAATCCCCGTTGCCATGGTAACAAAGCGATTTTATAAATGGCCAATTTGCAGATTCTTCGATAATTTTTTTAAGATTTCTTCGGTAAAACTTTTTAATTTTTTGCGCACAGTAATCTTATCTATAATTCCTTCAGCTGATAGCATTTAAAAAAAATCGTAAGAGAATTTTTTTTAATCCTCAAAAAGGCCTCTTTTTGGAGTAAAAAAAATTCGGCTGGTACGATTTTCTTAAAACTTGCACATTTTACGTACTTCAAGATTACAGGAAAGTGTGTGAAGTTTTAAAAAATTTTACCAAAGGAAACACGAGAAAAACACTGATTTATTTTTATCTGTGACGTCACAAAAATCAGGATTTCAATTATTTCCTCGCGCGATGAGCCGACAATCCCACGAAGGCCCGCGCGTTTATATCACGAAGTTCTGACACAATAAATAGCGAGCTTAAGCAAGTGACGCTTTTGACAACACGGACCTCGACCGGAAGTAAAGTTGACGTTTTCCACCAATCACAGCCCTTGACCCAGTCTTCTGACGTTACTCATGCCGTCCGTGTTGTCAAAAACGTCACTTGCTTAAGCTCACTAATATATTCTTTGGAACCGCAATTTTAAAAAACCCGCCACGCGTGCAACGTCGACCACGCGTTTTGCGTGTAGCACTACTAATCTCGCGCGTGGACAAAATTTCCGCGACACAGACCTAAAACTGTAGGGAGCCACCTTAAGCTATTCAAAACACTCGTTGTCGTACGATAAAACACTCCTACTCGTGTAGGAGTGTTTTATGTCTGTTTTATGTCGTACAAACGTAGTGGAGTTAAACCAACCGATAATTAATGAGTTTGACTAATGGTCGAGGGTCGAGGGTAATAGCGGTAATAGGTCGAGGGTAGAATGTCGAGGGTCGAAAAAAATGTCGAGGGTCGAAAAAAATGTCGAGGGTCAATTTTTTGACTCCATAATTTGTTCGCAAATTTTTAGTAACAGAATCAAATACTTACCATTGCACATACATATCACAATTAATTAATTTGCTTTAGCCCAACGTCAATGTTTTATCCCTATTATGGAATTTGCCATGGCGCAGAGTAAGTATGCTTCGCTATTAAACGCAAAGTTTAGTTTGAACAAACAGATATGTTTTATACGCCGATGTATATACTAAGTAACGAATAAACCCTATTTTGATCATTATGAAGTTAATAACTGATCAAATTTCGATCGCTGCAGTCAAAAGGCGCCGCTTCACATGCCATTTGATAAACATAACATTAACCTGAGTATCAGGCCCTCGGTATTGAAGAGAGCCTGACACAATTCGCCTCTACGGGCTTTCCACCCCCAGAATATCAGCCAATTAAAATTATTTCCGGTTGTAGCATATTTCCGGTTGTCCGCTCTGACAGGTATGTAAATACGCAAATTTCGTTATTTCGGTATGTTTTTGTCGAAATATCCACATGATGGAATTCTAAGCATAAACTATACCTCATTCGGGGAACCATAGCTCGATGGCTTTTTCCAGGAGTCTAAAGAGACAACATTCGGCACTCTGAATAGGATTTCTTCTTCCTCGGTCCTCGTGTCATGTTAATAGTTTATTCGAGACAGCTATAATTTCGCTTCAACTGCGTCTGACACAGCGGCTATTGTCTTCAATTTCTGCCTGATGTTGGCATATTAGTTCGAGCGAGCTGACTATGTAGTTTTAGTTTTATACCGAGTAAAATGTTGCTGCAAAAGCGTTTTCAACGTCTTTTCGTACTTATTTTGTCATTTTTAGGCTTAATTAATTGAAAATAAATTTCAGAAATAAAGCATATATTGACAAATATATTGACAAAATTACAAATCCTATTTTTGGTGTTTACATACGCCGGTCATATATTTCCGGTTTGAATCACATGATGCGTTTTATCGTCTCTTAGCCAATCAGCATAACATCCAGATTCTGGATGTTGAACATGGCTATTGGCTTTAGAGGCGAATTGTGTCAGGCCCTCTTTCAATACCGAGGGCCTGATACTCAGGTTAACATAACATAACCCTTTGCGACCTTTCTGCACTCATGATTTCAGCAATCATTACGACCACAAAAGCGATATATAGTACTGTATAGCTATGTTTCCCGCATGATCTAGAAACCCACGACTAAACACTAAATAATGTCGTATAAAATAATTTGTAAAGCCGTGATTTTCTAACTATCAGTATTTTCTGCATCGTGGCAAACGTTGACAGACGGCCAATTGTCTTATGTGCAATGCCTACGGCAGCAAACATTTTTCGCACAGATTATTTTCCGCTCATGTTGTAATTTCTTGCGCCTATGGCTCCTATCGTCTGCGTGAATTTGATTACTGCGCGAATCCGAATACAAGTATTACTCCATGCATGGCTGGGGATTATAAAGCCGGAAAATATTTCAACATTAAGTGATATTTTCCTAAGCGCTAAAGACAAGCTGACTTTTTTAAATAATGTGTAATTTATCAGGGAAGAATGAAAAATAATATTTAAAGAATATGTTAATTTTTGGCTGAGATAGAGCGTTTTTAGTATGCTAACTTGTCGACTGAACTGCGGTAAGTGTCAATATGTGGCGGTTCGACGACTCGTCTTGTGCAATTAAGCTGTTCAGTCAAAGTTTAAATCGGTATAAGTTTAAAAATAATCTCATATGATGCGACTATTATGGGTAAAGAATGAAAAAAAATATTATGACGATAAAGTAACTTGTGGCGGAGAACGAGCGTTTTAAATCGCCAAGCGGCACGCGTGTTTGCAGTCTCCATCAATATGTCGCTGTTCGGTGACATAACTTATGCGAGGCCTCCAGAGATAACTAAAAGCGCTACAGACAAGCCGAATGCTTTAGGTGATGTGCAAATTATCAGTGAAGAATGAAAAAATTTATTATAGCGTTACATCTATTCCTTACGACGATATAGCGATTTAGATAGGAACTAACCGTGTCTTGCTCAAGATTTAATTGACCCGACACGGTTTGGCGACTTGACTTATGCAAGCTGTTTAGAGTAATCTAGAAGCAGTAGCGACTCAGGGATTGCGTTATATGATAGTCCTTTTCTTGAAGAAGAATGAAAAAAATTATTGTTAAGATGGGTGAAGGCTTTGTGGAATTAGAGCCTCTGGCTCCAGATTCAATCTGAAACTGGAGCTGCGAATCTGAAACTGGAGCTGACTGGCTTCTCGTCGATTATTGCTACCACAGCAAATTTAATTCATGTATAGCTAGCAAAATTCCCAATTTTAATGAACAGATAGACCCAAAATGCAATGCACAAATACCCAAAGTGCAATATGCGCAGCTAATATGAAAAATAATCGAACATCTACCTTTATAACTTTTGCCATGAACTTGCCATAAATTTTTGTCATATTTCAATTATGTACATTTTAATAAAAAAGATAATTAACGAGTAAGCGATGTAGCAACATTATGTCCAGGGAAAGTTTGGCATATACAATATACACTAGTTATACTAGGTATTTTATACATGGTTTAATTTAGTAAGGAGTTGGTTTACCGCGTCAAGTCCGAATCAAATCTGAGCCCGAGTCAAATGTCTGGTCTTTGTAGTTCATTGACGTAGTACCATACGTAGTACCCTAACCCTACTCCTAACCCTATACTCCTAACCGATTTTACTCGTCAACGGGGAAGCTCTGCTAGGCATGTCCCGATTGTGCTCGGCAACTTTTGAGCAATTTTTTGCGTTTGGAGCAACTTTTTTCGGCTCGAACAACTTCAAGTAACTTTTTTCCTTTTTGATCAACTTTTTACTACACTCTTAGTAGTGAAAAATGGTATGACCCCCAGCTGTAGCCTCTTCGGCGCTCTGCAGCTTAATGGGTTACCAAAAAAATCTGACAATGTCTCTAGTTAACCCATTGCGCCCCAGTACTTATTTTTTTACTTGTTTAATGCCAGACGATTTTACTCGTCAACAGGAAACTCTGCAGCGTAATGGGTTAAATAGGCATGCATATTAGTTGTTGAAAGCACAAGTAAATGAAAGATCTGATGCCTTTTACAACAAGTTTAAAGAGCTCATTTCTATATAGCACTGTACATTTATTATATTGTCGGTGGTGCATAGTGGGGTTACTATTTTTTAGAATTCATGTGAGGGGGTCATTGAATTTTTTTGTGATGCAGGGGGTGGGGCAGGACATTTTGTTTAGTTAATTGAATTTTGCCAGCCCACCTCCGGTCATAAATAATGAATGGTCCCTTAAATAAAATCGAGCAAATGACATGTTTCTCCTGTCGTTTGACCAGGGCGAAGGGAGAGAGGGCGTAGAAACGGCCATACATCGAGCGGACCCATCCGTGATGCGGGCTTCGCGGGGGGTAAGACGTTCTAATTGTAAACAAATATGGCTACGCGTATATGACCCATCAGAAGTTATGCTGAAACTATTGCTTTATAAAATATTACTTGTGTAAAATTCATGTTTTTGTTTCTTTCAGCTACTATAAGAAACTTAAAGATAAGATTTAAGTAACAAAAAACTTTATTTCGGGTGTTGTTTTATTTATATACTCTGTTTAATTTGGTGCTTAAAAATGGCCGTCGAATTCAGGGTGTTAGCCAGTGGCCGTCCAAAATAATTTTGTGGGCGTGGCCACGAATTTTGTGGTCGTGGTCACATGTGTTTTGGGCGTGGCCTCAATTTTTTGTTGTTGTGGATTGTGGTGTTCTATTCGTCGAACCTTTTTACTTAGATGCACATTTCCGTTATTAAATTAGTAAAAGCACACGTATGGTATGAATCATATATCACTACGATGTACAGTATATGCTATAATGAAGAACACAATACAGCAGTGTAGTGTTTAGTTATATAAGTAAACAGCAGGTGACAACAATTCGAGGTATTCAAGAGATATTACAAAGCTTGCAAATTGCTATTTAAAGAAAACATTCCTTGAGGCTGTTCATGGCCGTCCATTAAAATTTAGCCGTCCGAATTCAGAAGTGGCCGTCCGTAGGACGGTCGGACGGTCGCCTGGCTAACACCCTGGTCGAAATGTTGTCCGAGAGTGTTAGCGCGCACTGCTTCCTGATAAAAAACCAATGATTTCCAAAACCTAAGTTATAATTTGTTATTAAATTATGATGAAAACCTTTGCGTATACAAAATTATAGAGTGAGCAAACATGAGACAGATAGGTTTTGAACCTTTCAAAGTTCGAGGTCGAATTGACAGTTGAAATAGTACCAAACTCCAAGCTGAAATGTGCAACTAAATCGTGTATATTTTTGTCAATTTTTTTCGCTGGCTTTGTTAAATTCACTTGCAATGGCTCGACATAAGTTCCAACATACAAACTGAGCAGAGCCCATGAAAGAGCTATCCATACCCATACAGTCATTCAGCTTCCTTGCTATTTAGAAATTGTTGCCCATTAGTTGAAGAAGAATTGCTATTGTATGCGCTTGTTTGCACTTCCTTTCCTAAAAAAAGTCTACAATATTAAGGCTAAATAGCAGGAAAAAAAGGCCCAATAATCCATGCAATTAAAAATATCTATCAAATTAACTTCAAAAATCATGATTTGAGGAATTATATCTATTCAGGCAACCCATAATTTAGTGACAGGTCTTGGCAAGGTGAAAGCTGAAAGGAACCGTTAAGATGGGTGTACTACAAAACTATATTGACTGAAGTTTTGGAAACATAATTTAACTAAATTTTGAAGGATTGACTTGCAAACTGTGATTCAGTATCATGGAATTTTACGCTTCTAGAGAAGTTGTGGCTCTGTTAGTGCCATTTCTTTCATTGTTTATATATCTTGCTTTTAAGCATTGCTCACTTAGGGCCGGACCATTAGATTTTTGATGGGGGGGTTGTGCATTTTCCACACTGCTTGATATTTTTTTTTCGATATTTTTTTTTCATCCTTCAGACAAGCAGGATATTTTTTTATTACCTCTGTGTCCTTGCACGATATTTTTTTTCTCTCAACTTTCAAAATCAATATAATCATTATATGTATTAAATATGCATATTTTAATATGCATACTTCAAAACTGTACAATGACCAATGTAATATTTGACAGTTCTTAGACTTCCAGCAAATTGAGATGAAAGCATAGCAGGATCTGTCAAATCTTTTTATTTTTGTTATAAAATATTAGAAAACGAAAATCTGGAAATGCCAATTTAGCATTTCCAGTTACAATTTAGCATTTAAAGTTTTGGCAATTTTGCACCTTCATATTTTAAAAGCGCTTGAAAGGCACTGTTTGAACATGGTAATATAGCTATATACAATGAAATGTTTTACCACAAAGGACCAACTTATGGCCCTCAATGGGTTTTATATAATTTTGACGACTTTGCCTACAGAGGCTATGCAAATTTTACCGAGCATTGCAAAAATGGTGTACATATTATATAATAAATTTGATCTATAATGAACGTCGTCGTATATAAAAGGCATTTAATAGGCCATAAGCTGGGCGCCTGGGATTTTACCAGATTATACGAATTTGGAATGGACGTAGAAGCAGCTAGAAGGGATATCTACAGGATATTCATGAAAAGGATATTGACATGTTAGGCTTGACAGTATTTGAATGGAGACGACTTCAACGTGAGATCACTACTTGGAGAAGTGAAGAAGAAAGTGCGAAAATTGGTAATGCCAAAACAAGTGTTGCTGCATTCAAAACATCTTCGGCATCTGCAGTCATATCCTTGCCCAACTCTTTGAGTAATTTCTTTGGGACACGAGATGGACAAGGGAACATAGTCGTCTCTATTGAATCCTTAAAGAGAAAGTACAAGGCTCTATGGTATGAGAATCCTGTCAATCCAACTCAAATATTCTCCAACTCATTTATTCTACAAATGGCAGAACAACGGATGCAATTTGAGAAGACCCTCCGTAGCTGTGAATTATGGTGCAGAAAACAAAGGTCAACACGAATTTCTTTTTTGCTGGCATTGGCAAAAACACCTGTGATTTCAATGTGGAATCAATACTACAAGTCGCAAAGTATTATGGGAAAGTGTGAAATATTAGAAAGGCAACACCCTGCAGTAGCATCATTTTTGGAAAACAGAGTCAGAGAGGAATCATCCAATGTGCCATCAAAAGCCATGTATGAAAATATCTGCCAGTATGTTGCAAAACTTGAAGAGGTCAGCACCTTTTCAACCAATACCCTACAGAAGTGTGATACTGAGATGGCTAAATGCATCCCTGCTGGAGTACGTACCCAAAAAAGGTACAGTATAGTTTCCACTTTTCAGAAGAGATGATAGTATTTTTATAGTAGAAAATAGACCTATATTAACACACAAATTGGAAATGTTAGCCATATAGGTTAATACATTTATACATTAATCTCGAATCAGGACTTGGGGTGCGTAGAAAAATTTAGGATTGGCTTCTGAACTTTAATAGTTGCTTTATATGCACTTTAATATAGGTTACAAGGATGAGTTGGATTTCCTATCAAAGAATATAAGACCTCGACTTATTGAGATCGACACTTCCATCAAAGAAAAGGCACAACAGGCTCGTGAGTGCATGGATGCAGCCAGAGAGAAGCATGGGTATTCAATTGCGTACAAAAGTGCAAAGCGGAAAAGAAAAAGTGGAAAATCAAGTATGTCCGCACGTGCAAGTCAAGCCAAGGAAGGTGATTATAAAACAACTACACTGATTAATGAAATCAGTGATTCAGATTCAGAATCAATGTCAGAGGAGCAAGATTGAAAAACTGTTTGATATATACATTTGTTAATTGTTTTGTTTGTATTCTTGATTCCTATATTAATATATAAACAACTATATACATGTACATATATTCAGATAATATCTACTATTGTTGTTGCTATTTTAAAGTTGTTGTTGGTATATAAAATGAAAAATTATGTCTATTGATAATAACAGAGTATATATATTTAATATAAAAAATATTATATTCGAGCTATTCTGATATTCTCACAAAAACGTTTTAATTCTAGTAGCCAAATTTTAAAATTTTCAAAATTTTATACCCCATTCTGCTCGCACACTGTACGCTTTATTTCTTTGCACATGATGGGGGATCCATGCATGAGTTCCTGAAAATTGTGCATGTGTCATGTGACAATATACCACTAGAGATTTGAGGAAATTTTAAAAATATTAAAAGCCAAAAAGCCAGCATCTTCTCTCTGACGCCCGCACTCTAGATTTCAGCGGTAATCTTTGCCAAAGCCAGGTTTGCAACCACGTCTAGCGCATTTCACATATTTTTATATGACTCTTCTATTATTTAAAGTCTTTTATTAAAGTCTTTGGCAAATTGTTATAAAAATAATATTTAATTAAAAGGTTATATATTATGGATTCAGGTTAATTTCTTCAAAAGCCTCTGCGGAGGAGAGACTTCTGACAATCACGAGGGTGGAAACTTGGATGGTGTGCTCGATATTTTTTTCGTGCGCATTTGTCCTGCTCGATATTTTTTCGTAACAATAAGTGCTTGCTCGATATTTTTTTGGGGATTTACACAACCCCCCCATCAAATATCTAATGGTCCGGCCCTTATAAAATCTTTCAATTCCATAGGGCCTGTTTATATGATCCCGCCTAGATGGGACGGGACGTTTTCATCCCGCCAATACAGGATACTCGCCTAGTGTTTATATGGACAAAATACATTGCCGGGATGAAACCATTCGGTGCTTGACGTCATATTTTTGTTGCAATAAAGGCATTTACGCATGCCCAAAAGGGAAAAATTCATTCCGCCTAACCGGGATAAAGTGTTTATATGGGAATTTTTCATCCCGGCTGGGCGGGATGAAGTGTTTTTATATGGGAATTTTTTATCTAGCTTAGGCAGGATCCCGGCATCTGTTGCCGAAATCCAGTCTAGGCGAAATAAGTGGCGGGATCATATAAACACTCTTTAGCATTTGTATTACAAGCGGGATCTCGGTAAGCATCCCGTCCCACCTGGCCGGGATCATATAAACAGGCCCCTAATCTCATCCCATGATACTGAATCACAGTTTGTAAGGCCCCATTTACATGAGACCAGGATGAAACTAACCTGGAATGAAAATTGAAATTGCATGTCAACATGTTTACATGAGACCAGCATGAAAATCAAAGAATTTTCAATTTATTCCCCTTGCCAGGCAATTTTCTTTTTTAGATGACTTTTGTTAGCATGTGTTGTTCACTTGTTCCAATGTCAACATTCATTCCAGTCTGAATTCATACTGGTCTGAGTCAGTCGGCTTGGTCCAGCAGGCGGAATGACTTGAGACCTCATGTAAACATCTATTATATATAATATAATGACCAAAACGAAATGGTCCCGGTTAATTGACTTTGTTCCAGTCTCATGTGAACTGGACCTAATAAAATCCTTCAAAAGTTGGCTAAATTTTTCCAAAACTTCAGTCAATATAGTTTTGTAGTACACCAATCCCAAGATCTGTCACTAAATTATGGGTTGATTGCCTGAATAGATATAATTCCTCAAATCATGATTTTTGAAGTTAATTTGATAGATATTTTTAATTGCATGGATTATTGGGTCATATTTTTCTGCTATTTAGCCTTAATATTGTAGACTTTTTTCAGAAAAGGAAGTGCAAACAGTGTGACCATATATGCAAATTTTTTTACTAAAGCTGCTTAAAATTGGTTGGCTGCCCCCTCCTGTTCTTAATGTTGCAGTTGTTTAAAAGCAGGTGGGGTTGTCTAAGGGCATCCAACCGGATCTGGTAATAAAATGTACTAAACCTGGTCACACTGAGTGCAAACAAGCGCATACAATAGCAATTCTTCTTCAACTAATGGGCAACAATTTCTAAATAGCAAGGAAGCTGAATGACTGTATGGGTATGGACTATGGATAGCTCTTTCATGGGCTCTGCTCGGTTTGTATGTTGGAACTTATGTCGAGCCATTGCAAGTGAATTTAACAAAGCCAGCGAAAAAAATTGACAAAAATATACACGATTTAGTTGCACATTTCAGCTTGGAGTTTGGTACTATTTCAACTGTCAATTCGACCTCGAACTTTGAAAGGTTCAAAACCTATCTGTCTCATGTTTGCTCACTCTATAATTTTGTATACGCAAAGGTTTTCATCATAACTTAATAACAAATTATAACTTAGGTTTTGGAAATCATTGTTTTTTTATCAGGAAGCAGTGCGCGCTAACACTCTCGGACAACATTTCGACGGCCATTTTTAACCACCAAATTAAACAGAGTATATAAATAAAATAACAGCCGAAATAAAGTTTTTTGTTACTTAAATCTTATCTTTAAGTTTCTTATAATAGCTGAAAGTAACAAAAACATATAAATTTTACACAAGTAATATTTTATAAAGCAATAGTTTCAGCATACCTTCTGATGGGTCATATACGCGTAGCCATATTTGTTTACAATTAGAACGTCTTACCCCCCGCGAAGCCCGCATCACGGATGGGTCCGCTCGATGTATGGTGTTTTAATGCAGATTTTGTTCACCCCGTATGGTATGTTGTTGACTGTTGTTTACAAAAGTTATTACTAAAATCACTAAACTGGCCACATCCCGCTAAGATTTTCAAACGGGGAAAGATGTTTGATAAACGGGGAAAGACGTTTGATAATTCCTAGACTGCGAGCAATCCCTAATAAATAGAGGGATTGCCGCTTTAACTAATTGTCAAGCGTGTTTGATTAAGCTCCGCCTACTTGTTTATATTTCAAAACAGGGTCAAAAACATCTCTTGAAAGGCGCGATCTCGAATGACTCAATTCGCTTAGTGTAAAACCATCAAACAACGTGTATTTAAATTCTCAAATTTCAGTTTGGCAAGTATGAATATTCATAATCAGAATTTGTCTGGCAGAAAAACGTATAAAGCAAGGCAAGGGGTCTTAGGGTTTATTGAAGGGTCTATTCTATAGACTGTGACTTTCTGCGACAATATTTTGATATATATTAATAGTTTACAGTAATAAAAAATTACCAACTTAATACAGCTATTCAGCTGAATTACATGCAGGTTAAGATTTACAAGGAGTGTTTGTAATTTACGTTAGTTAAAACGTGCGAATGTACCCGCTGCTGAGATGATTTGTTTTTATTGTACTTGCATCCGACCGAGATAGTAGAATATGCATCGCCCGTTTTTCATTACGGAATCCCAAATTACCTGAGTAAAGACATTGAACGGATACAGAAATCATTGAAGATCCAAATCACAAACTTCGCGGCACTATTGCCGGATTTGAACTCAATTTACTCAAATACTGTACTGTCTGCACATTAATCCCTGAGGACTTTCCAATAATTAAGACTAATAGATACATGAACACATTCATAATCGCAAGTTCTACATGTAAACGTTTTAATTCATAGTTCATAGTTTTAGCATTCGTATACGTACATTTGCATGTTTCCAATTTTCAAGTTTAAATTTTAAGCTTGTAAACATAGAGGCATAGAGGTTTAGTTTAATATAAAAAATGCAATCTTTTAGATACATTGATACTGTCAACATGACTATTCCATTTAAGATCAAAACAATACATACAATATACAATACATACATACATATTTTAATACAAAGACATACAATATTATAATAAACCCAAACTCCATAAACTCACCAAGTCACCATGTATTAATTAGCCTAACTGCCAATTCATCAACGACTATGAGGGCAGTTCGTTTCTGAATGGCGAGCTTTTATTCTTCAACAAGGCAACAAATTCAGGAGACAAAGGCTCAATTTAAGCTTCATCAGCAGACGCATACACAAATATCTGAAAATTGGTTTCCTTGATCCCACTATAAGAACGGCCGAGTTAATATTTGCAAAGTCGTTGGACCGTAACTGTTCATCAATAATAGTAATGCTACGAAGAGGAACAACTTAAATACTATAATACTAGTTGGGCTTGAACAAACCCTTCCAATATCTTCAGCCAACAGGAAACTCTTTCCAAATCCCGTAGGAAGGACAGCTAGAACATCTCTACCTTCAAGTAAGCACTCTATTGCAAGCGTTTGTTTCTGTAAGCTTGTTGTAAGACTTTCAACTACATACGTATCAATTTTCGTTGCTTCCCGCTGCCAGATAGATATTAATTTCGCCAAATGTCTGTTTACAGTATAAAGCCAGCTGAGTGATGGGTTTTAATGTTATCAGAATATTTATTGTTTTTTAACCAATCAGAATTTCCCGTTGTCTGTGCAACGGGAAAATCAAACACGCTTGACAATTAGTTAAAGCGGCAATCCCTCTATTTTTCCTCTCGTCTCCGCCCCTTTTTGCCATTTTCCCGCGCGTTCAATCTTAGTCCGGGAAACAATAAAACGAAGGAAAATAGACAATCTCGTTCCCCGAGCCTGCGATCCTCGGGAAGGAACGCGAGGCTCTGGGATAATCCGTTTCAGGGAGGAATTCGATTGGCTGTTGAAATGGAATGCGCAGTTCAATCTCAGCCAGGATTCCTGGCTTCCGGCAACGGATTATCCCAGAGCCTCACGTTCCTTCCCGAGGATCGCAGGCTCGGGAAACGAGATTGGAAAATAGAGGGATTGCTCGCAGTCTAGATAATTCCAAATTCAATTTTCGTTCAATCATGTGATCAAATTGTTTCATCATTTTGGTCACATGACTTCACGATTTTGTTATCAATTTATTTTTGTACATGGGTTTCAAATTTTATTATCCAATCAGGTGCGTAGTTTTGAATTAAACGTCAGAAATTCGTTACTCAACAGTCAAGTTATTCAAACGTAAACAAGGTCATAGACAAGGTCACAAACATCCAAACGAAGGTCAGATGCAACAGAATATATGAAATTGTTTTGTTAGCCGCGTTCTTCCTTTTTAACCGCCATTCCAGAAACAAACAACGACGAATGTCAACGTACATTTAATAGTTTCGAAATCTAAACAATACAAAATTACACATACTTTTACAATAAAAAAGACATATAAAATACAAAAATAATGCCGATAAACGTAAAGTCACATGCAATAAATTACCCGGTGGTCTCCTCGCAAATTAACGGCTACAAATTCTTGAATATCGCCTCTAAAATCACTTTCTAAAAGTTATATAAACAGTCGATCAAACATAGCGTCCAAAATATCCTTATATTTTCCATCACCCAAAAGTCGTTTCTGTAAACTTCGTGATCTCGTTTCTCATCGCTCAAAAGTCGTTCGCTACTTTCGTACTAAACGAAACACTGCCACCTTCTAATAACGCTAACAAGTTCTCAGTGTTAAACAATGCTCTATCAGAACAAACGTAACTCAACATAATAAGACTATAAGAGTGTTTTTGCAAGTTTGTGTCCCTAAGTTTCTTGTCTTTTCTTCATCACTTATCATCATGATCAGCAGGCAGAATTACCACTAATCGGTGAACGGCTCGTTCAACTGTGACATAATCTTGACCACCATATTTATTGATGGGTTCTCCACTCTTTGGATTCTTGTACTGAACTTCGACGTTCCTAATCTTTCCATCGTTTCCAGGCTTGACTTTTGAGACCCTACCAAGTTTCCAGTTGCCTCTTACTTGATTTGAGTCCTGAATCAAGACGACGTCACCCATCATTAGATCTCGTTGGGCTGTATGCCATTTTTGCTGCACGATCAAACTTGGGAAATGATCACGAATCCACTTTTTCCAAAACGCGTCGATGATTTTCTGGACAAATTCGTGTCGGTGGTTCGGGTTAGCTGTCTCACGAAAGGGACCGCTTGGTATCCTGGATGTCGCCCGACCCAAGAGCAGATCATTCGGACACAGGTACGTTCCGTCGTCCGGCGATGTCGGGTTTCTTCCAATCGGTCTCTCATTTACCAGGTTGGCCGCTTCGAAGCACACCGTTTGCAGCTCGGAGAATGTCAGGATGTTGTCTCCAATTGCCACCATAAGAGCTTTCTTGATTGACTTTATCAACGCTTCTGAGCACCCGTTTTGCCATGGTGCGTCGGCCGATGTGAATTCCCATGTCATTCCTTCGGTTACCCCGAACTCTTTCAATTCTTCCCAATTCCACGCTCGCGTCACCGTCTGGAGTTCTTCGTTGGCAGCTGTTAGTTGCGTCCCATTGTCCGATCGAATTTTCCTAGGATAGCCTCTCAGTGATACAAATCTTCTTAAAACCATAAGGAACTTTTCAGCGCTATAATCTGGTGACAGGTCGACATGAACAGCTCGCGTTGCCAGACAATTGAATAGCACTCCAAAGGCTTTCCCGATGGTTCTCTTCTTTACCTCGTCTCGAATCTTAAAAGGTCCAAACAGATCTATCGCGGTGGAGGACCATGGTGGTGCGGGCTTGAGACGATCTTCTGGCAACTTCCCCATGATTTGACCAGATAGGGCTTTGTCCATCTTCTTGCACACCACGCAGTTGAATTTGATTGACTTCACAATTTTATGGAGTCTTGGGATCCAATATCTCAAACGCACTTTACTTGTAATTGCTGCAACTCCTTGGTGACTTTGATTATGGATGTGCTCTGCATATAGACGCGAGAGTCTGTGGTCATGTGGGAGCAGAACAACTTCTTGCTGATCGTAGCTCATCTGCAGCCATTTCTCCGCGCGGCCGCCGACCACAACAATTCCATCATCACGGGTTCTAGGACAGAGTCTTTTAAATTCTCCTTCGTCAAGCTTTTTCTTCATAGACTCTTGTGCCTTCTTGATCCAGAAAGTTTCAGCCCTTTGGATGTCCGTAGGTGTCAATGTTTTGCCGTTGTTCTTCAAGCTTGGCTTTGGATTCTTGGAAGCCGTGGCAATGACTCTCGCTGTAACTCTCATCAACTTGTTATACGAAGAATATCGTGTGATGTCGATTGCAGCTGCTGGGATGTTGGTCACTGTCGCGTTCGTTGCCATTGCTACTCTGATTCTCTCGGGAAGTTCCTCTCCTTTAAAGCTTTGCTCTACTGGCCACTCCGAGACGGGTTTCGCAAGAAATTCTGGGCCGTTCTGCCATGCACTGTCTGGACCGATCTCGCTTGGTTTCTTCCCCCGAGTGATCCAGTCTGCGATGTTGAAATCTCCTTTTATCCAATACCAGTCAGCAGGAATAGTTCCCTCCTGGATTTCACCAATGCGTGTAGCTGCGAAAGTGTTGAAACCGTAAGTTTCCTTTTGGATCATTGCACGGACAATTTGGGAGTCGACAATATGGTAATACCCGCCGCTGAACTGATATCTTGAAATCCCCTCGATGAACGCTATCAACCGTTTATTCAGAACAGCTGCACACAACTCTACCCGGTCAATGGAGATCTTCTTAACTGGGGAAAGACGATTCTTGGATGCCACCAGGCTGCTTCGATACTTTCCATCATTACACTCCCATCTAGCATAAGAACATGCTCCGTATGCGTCCTGTGATCCATCACTGAAGGTGACTAGAGTGGGGTCACCTACAGCTTCATTTGGCTTCATGCATCTCTTGAACTTTACTTCTTCCATCTGGAAAAGATCTTTGAAGAACCCTATCCAACCTTGTCTGGCTTCTTCAGGAACAGGGTCGTCCCAATCGAGTTTCATCTCACTTCCCCAAAGTTTCCGCATCATGATCTTTGCTCGAACTGTGAATGGTCCGGCCAATCCCAAGGGATCATAAATACTGTTCACTTGTGAGAGAATTATTCGTTTAGTGAGGTTACTCGGAATTTCTTTCGGGATCTGTTCTTTTCGAAGGCTTGGTCCAGTTCGCACTTTTCTCTTTTTCTGGGAAAAGTTAAGTTTAACTTCAAAGTGAAAGCAGTCCTCCTTTGGGTCCCAGGAGACTCCGAGAACCTTTTCTTTGTCTGCTATTTGCTCAAAATGGATGTCTTCATCGTTGCCAGATTCACGGGATACAACCCAGCTTTTCATCTCGAATCCACCAGCTTTAACCACAGCTTCGATCTCTTTGGTCTTTTGGCAGGCATTCTCTTCTCTGCTCACGCTCTCTAGTCCATGTAGCTGTTGTTCTTCACGACTTCGGCTGCTTCAGGGTACGTTTCTTGACTTAAATCTGCTGTCTTTCTTAAAGCAACGGTGGCGATGGTTCCTGCTGGCTTGTCCCCGAACGATACGGTTTGGATGATGTACGTGTCCGGCTGTCTGCCGGTATCCATGTCGCGCCACGGAAAACGATGTGTGTGTTGCTCTACAATTCCAATGTTCACCGAGTGATACATCTTCTTTATGTCTCCCATCATCGCAACTTCGTTTTCCCTGAAGCGTACAAGGACCCCCAATAAATTGTTGAGTAAATCGGGACCTTTAGCCCAGTAGTCGTTCAACGTGTGTCCCATATAGTTGGCGCTGCTGTTGAATACGATTCGAACTGGCGTCGATTTAGACTCAGGTTTCAAGACTTCATGATGGGAGATATAGTGAACTGGTCCACTGTACTCATCCAACTCTTTGCTTGTTAACTTTCTTGCAACACTCCTGTGGATCATATCTTCTACTTGTGTTTGGTATACCTTTGCATGCTCGGGATTTTTGGCAAGTCTCTTTTCCGTTGAGATTAGCATTCCCATTGCTGCCTTTCTGTTGTCAGGTAATTCTCGCGGATTTCTTATCCACGGGTATTCTGCGGTCCATTTCTTCTCTTCGTCGTCAAACGTCAGTTTGCTTTCGATCAGCTTCAGTTCTCTCTCTTCTTTGAGGGTGTAATCATTGCTTCCAATTGGACACTTTCCACATTTACAACCTCCACAGCGTGGTGAGCAAGCTACCCCCAGACCTTCAATGTTGTAGAAGTCTTCAACATTAATGGCATTGATATGATTGACTCGGGCACTGGTCAACTCACTGGTCGGGTGAGACTCTTTGATGCTTGGGTGTTTGCCACCAATGCACTTTCCAAACTGGTTTTTCAGTAGTAGTAGAAGATGTCCGTCTCTTCTTTCTAGCTGTGGATGAAACCCTGCATACTCGTAGCCAATCAGTAAGTCGACTGGTCCAGTCGGTCTTGTGACTTCTTCGGCACTAACTCCTTTGAACAAATGAACAATACCATCAAGATTGACAGCTTGGATGTCCGATGTGATTTTTTCTATCCCGTAAGCTTCGATAAACACAGTTTTGCCGTATTGGTTTACCAGAGGGACCCGGTACAAGTGCGATGTAAGCTTCTCATCCATTCCTCCAACCTTGGTGATCGACAGTTGAACTTGTTTGCCATGCAGTTTCTCTTCTTTAGCTTTACTGTACGTAATAAGACAAATAGATGCTGCACTGTCCCACAAGACGTTGGTCGACCCTTTGCTGGTTTTGATTCTTTGGATCTGTAAGAGGCAAGTACTGTTGGTCATATCACCACAAGCAGCGGTAAAGCCACTCTTTCGTTCCATGTGAATAGTTTTGTGATGTGTTCCTTTGCATCCATTTTCGCCGCAGGCTTTCTTTCTCTTGCATTCCGCTAGTCGATGACCAACTCTCAGGCATGACCAACACGCTGACTTGTTCTTGAGCAGGTTAATTCTCTCTTCAGGCGACTTGGAAAGGTAAAGGTTACATGTATCTGTCCAATGATCACTATTGGGATGAAATAAGCACTTGTTTTGTGAGATAATGGTTTCCTTCTGCTGCTCCGTATTACTTTCATCCTCATGGCCATCTTCCTCTAATTTCTCACTTGCAGTAAGGTTGACTGTTCCAGCATATGAAGTATTGCTTCGTAAGTTGCTGGAATCATACTCAATTGCTCTCTTACAATTAAGCAGAAATTTCAGGAGGCTTGGAAATTTATCTTTCTTGTCGACTTCGCTTGTATCAAAGCTGACTAGTTTGGCCCACTCCTTTCGCACATCGTTTGGCAATTTCTTCTCTATTATGCTCACAGAGCTAGTAGTAGTGATCTCCTTTTCTAGACCGAGTCTTCGCAAATCTTGATAAGCATCTTCTACAATATTAACAAAGTTGATAAATCTCTTATGTTCTCCTTCTTTTATGACTTTTACCTCTTTAATGCTCTCAATAACTACGTCCGCAATCTTCGCTGGATCCCCATACTTTTCATCTAAACGCTTTAACATCTCTTCTATGTCGTCCTCTACACTTCTTACAATACTGAGAGGTTCTCTGCCGAGACATGATCTCAAGGCATAAGGTGCAGACTCTTTAGGCAGTCCTGGTAATACTTGCTGCTCGAAGTCTTTCTTAAAGCGTGGATATTGTCTAATATCACCGTCAAATGTTGGCATTTTCAGTTTTTCCAATCTGAGGTTACACGATTCCTTACTTTTACTTGTCGATTCTAGCTTCTTTAGTTTCTCCTGTTCCTTCGCGATACCGACTGCAATTCTTGATGTTATGGCATTATACTCCTTTTGAATATTTTTCATCCAATTAAATTCTGCATCTGCTTTGTCCTTATCGAGCAGTTCAAGGTATTTATCATTAGCTTCCTTGCAGTCGGCCACTGCTGCATCTAATCCTTCCTGAGCCTTTTTTAGAGCAGCCGTAATAAAATCCATTTCCAATACTGGTTTCACATCCTCTACTAACTGCTGAAAAACAATTTCACTAGTTTTCCTCTTTATTGTCATCTGCTGAACCCTCTTTTCCATTTTTTCCTGGTCTTTCTTAGTTGTCTCTTGAAGTCTTTCTTCATCCATAGCCTTTTTACCAGCTGCTGCTTTACTTTGGACATAGCTTACCTCCTTTTCCATTGCCTCACCAAAGCTCCTTTGCAGCTCCTCAATCCAAGTCTCTTCGTGCTCGCAGTCCTTGTCTTCGATGAGCGCAACATACATATCGTGTTTGCTTTCCACATTTTTCCACGATTCTTTTAGCTCTACATAGGTTCTATCTACAATCTCAAGTCCCTTATCTTCAGCAATAGCTCTTAGAAATTCCTTTAACTTCCTAGTAAATTTGCTCTTAGCACTTGTTCTTTGACTTTTGGCACTTTCTATTTCGTCGGACATCTTTGTTTTTACACGTTATTCGGTTCACTACGTTTAATAAACACTAACTCATCAAAATTCTGGCATAATTTAGGCTTTCGTACCTTCAGAGACGGATTTCGAATGTTTTGTTAGCCGCGTTCTTCCTTTTTAACCGCCATTCCAGAAACTTACAACGACGAATGTCAACGTACATTTAATAGTTTCGAAATCTAAACAATACAAAATTACACATACTTTTACAATAAAAAAGACATATAAAATACAAAAATAATGCCGATAAACGTAAAGTCACATGCAATAAATTACCCGGTGGTCTCCTCGCAAATTAACGGCTACAAATTCTTGAATATCGCCTCTAAAATCACTTTCTAAAAGTTATATAAACACTCGATCAAACATGGCGTCCAAAATATCCTTATATTTTCCATCACCCAAAAGTCGTTTCCGTGAACTTCGTGATCTCGTTTCTCATCGCTCAAAAGTCGTTCGCTACTTTCGTACTAAACGAAAC